TTAAATGAACTTTTTTCACGCAGACAATGTAAATTTTACAAGTTAAATGTCGAAATGCACTGATAGACACCAAGTGGAGATTTTATTGGCAGTGCCTGAAAATTGGTTCAGCAAAATAGTTCCAAAAGTAAAATGGGCGTAAGGGCACCCAAAACAGTCTCGTGAAACGGTATCAAGTAAAACCACTGGCGTGGTCGTTCCTCAGGTTTTTCTCTGTTGATAATCAGATGTTGGAAGTTGAAAGGACATATACACACACTTATTCCGAGTCTACTAACATACCTCATATCGTATACGTGAAAACGTTATGTGGAACTGAAGTGACATCTTAATTAGGATTTTCTACTAGCGTTGACGACCACTTTTGGGCTCAGAATTTGACGCATTTGCCCGTATAAGTTGAGCCTACAGTGGGGCCCAATTCTTGAATTCATTCAAAGGAGAAACGTATGCAAAACTGATGCTCTTACAGAAAAGTAGCAAGTTGATTGGCTATTTGCATAGTTTTTAACGATTGATTTTTAACTTTTCTATGGGGAAGCAGGAATTTTGCATACGTTTCTCTTTCAAATGAATTAAAAAATCGAGTCCCTGGTCTCTAGTCTTTATGATGACATTTATGACAGTGATGATTTAGCAAGAAGCCACAGCCCAACATTTACACAGTTACTACAAATTCTACACGTGCAGTATCCACGGTCAGTACGCTGCATTAATTCGGTTTGAATGATAATTAGGAATAGACCAAAATTACTCGATTATTCAAATTTCAAATATCAATGTTTTTTATCGATATGACACGAATTGAATTATTGCACCTAGCATTACCCGTCGCTCATATGTAGCCATTACACAACTCTTGTAACTGAATTTTGTAAATCGTTATGCAGTACGTGTTGTCATTATATGAATATTGTTACGCAAATTTTTTACGATTTATTATATCTGCGTAACAATAATAGCAATGACACTGCATAACGAGTTACAAAATTTAGATACTGATGTCTCACTGTACGCGTAGCAATCATCAACACTGGGCTGTCTCTTCCCGCTGATTTGCAGATCTTTATTAATTAACAACTCGTCGTTCTTTATTGTTTTAATCGCAAAACAGGACTTTTCTATTTGATTTAACTTATTTTTGCCTGATAAAAAATTTTTTCATGCATACGCATGTATAAATATATGTACAGCATTATGTAGAATTATGTATCATGTCCATACATGTTTTTACATTATGTACTTCTATAGAAGTTTTATAATTCTATACATATGTATAATTTTATGCAATTTTATATAATTCTATAAATTTATATGAAAAATTTTTAAAGGGAAAAATTTGCTCCTTTATAATTATATCTAATTATGTTTATAATTAGTGTATAGTTATACATAATTAGATATAATTATAAGTGTGCAAATGTTTTCCTTAAAATTTTTTTATATGAATTTGTAGAATTACCTATACATATAGAATTGCATAGAATTATGTGGAAAATTATAAAGACTTTTATAGAAATATACAATGTAAATGTATGGACATATTTGGCACATAATTTTATATAATTCTATATATTTATACATGCTTATGCATAAAAATTTTTTTATCGGGTTGCTGTCTACTTCGGCTGTTATACTTATCAAATGTTCCACACAGATATAAAAAATGGACATTTTCACAAATCTTGAGAAATAATCAGGCGCATTATTAGTTTGTTCTAAATTATATTGTCCTAACTTCATTATAAATGATCTTTCACTGATATATTCTGCAAAGAAATTGTATAAAGAGAGATTCTATCTATATATACAGGGTGGGCCATTTTAATCTATGCACCCAAATTTCTTTGTACCTAAGACAGATACGGAAAAATGGTTTAGACAAAAGTTGTTCAAGATAATGGGGGTTAACAATTGTGTGTTTTCTTTACACCGGTTGATTTGTCTCATTATTCTGTTAAAAAAAGTATTAAGGTAAGATGATAAAAAAATAAATATTTTACAAGATATTTTGTAATTTATGTCAAAATATTGGAACTTTCAAACCTTAATAACTCAAAAAGTTCTTAGTAAAAAAATACTTTATTATGGCGTTTTGGAAAGCTCTCGAGGTAAGCTATAAGAATATGTAATAAAAAATAGGGGTTCCTATTAAAAAAAACCACTATAACCTTTAAATAACCTTGAAAAGTGGTCTCAAGGTCAAAGCTAGTTACACGGATAGGTGACCCCTATTATCTTGAACAACTTTTGTCTGAACCATTTTTCCGTATCTGTCTTAGGTACAAAGAAATTTGGGTGCATAGATTAAAATGGCACACCCTATACATATAATCTATCTATAAATAAATAAAAAGAGATTCTATATATCTATATATATCTATATATATTATTGTTATATTTCAGGTAATTGGCAATTATAGTTTGTAATATACAATTTTTACTGTTTCCAATTAATTGATAACAACAACTTTAATATACTTTGGAAGCAAGGCCAGAAACAACAGTCTTTATGGATATAATTTTTCCTATGTCAGCTATAATATACTTGATACGATACGATGCTATATTATGGAAACACTGATATAATATATGTTATTTAATATAAATAATTTAAGAAGTTTATGATGTATCAACATAGTCTGTATGATACCAAAGGCTATATATAAAATAATACATTTCTAATGAGAAGATTTACAACATTGACATAGCGAGTAGCCACAAATAGAGAGTACTCGCACAATGTCGAATTCTAAGAAAAATCTGGATTGCAATCAGAAAAAAGCTACAGTTCTCGACGAATCACAAGCAACGATAAACGAAAAAGAAAGTGTGTCAGCGCGGCCTAAGTGTAAGCTGGATTCACACGGTTGTTTAAATCTTCGTGATATTCTTCTGATGTTTGATAGCCCTATAAGTCAGGAACGAGCATGGGCACTGTGCTATCAGATAGCTAAAAGTTTATCGCACTTAACAGAAAATAAGTTTTATGAGATATCAGAACTCTCGCAAATTATACTTCACAAAGATGGAGATATTCGGGTTGAAAACTTGGCAGGTGACTGTTTTATTCTAGAATTTTTCGAAATAATGAATTATGAATTATTATGAATTATTACAATGTTAAAGTTAATTGATGGGATAATTTACATTATAGGTTCTAAACAACCTCTGGTTTCGGAAGAAAAGGTAAATGTATATAATTTGTAATGAAATATTTAATTGCATTTTGCAATAAATCTTAATTGTACATTAAATGAAATATAAATTACAATGTAAATTTTTCTTTGTACAGGCGATATTTTCACTAGGCATGGCAATTTTTAAAGCCTTAGACTTTGGTTCTAACGCGGGAGAAGAAATAGCTTTATTACCAGACCTAGAAGCTCTCATTACATTGATGACAAACTGTAATCGGGGTAACAAATTTTTTTCACTTTCTTACTTTCTTTAGTAATGTCTAATCGCATATTTGGAGAAAAATTTAAATTAATAAAATTAGTGTTACGAAATACTAAAACGCTATTTAATTACATTAGCATGTGAAGTTGATGTAGAAGAACGTTTACAAGAAACTGATGATGAAGGTATTGAACGAGACTCTGGTGACACTGATGTGGAGGATTATATGATGCCAAAAACTACTAACAATGACATATGTACCTTGAAGACTGTTCTCCAAGTAAGTTTATATATGTTTATATTTGTAATATACATTTTTAATGCGATTCATAATAATTTACGCAGTCATAAGACAATTAATAATTGAAGAAAGCAGAGTAAACATGAGGTTGCTCAAAGTTAAGTAGTTAAATTAATTTTATGAAAAACAATACAACAACCGATAAATACAACTTTATCTTTTAATTTCTTAATTGTGTATATGGATAATTACAATTATATGTTACAAAAACAATGTCAAATTTTCGCTTGAATTTCAGATATGTACAAGGCATGTACAAAGTTTGCACGAAGATGCTGATAATTATTACCGGAATATGATACAAGTGTTTATAGAAGAGGCCCTTAATCTTACGCAGTTTCTGGAGAAAGTAGTTGTCGATAAACAATCACAAGATTTGTTCAGCCCGAATAATGTTGATCGTAGCTCAACGTCATTGCAAAATATTGATACATTGGATTTCAATGATTGGGTAAATTTTTTCATTGGTATAAAAATACACTGTGCAGCAGTGTTTTATCATGGTTTTCCAAAGAAATTATTGGTTTAGAAGCTATTAAGAAATCTGCGATAGGAGAAAATATTCAAAATTGCTTATTTTAAACAAAACACTTTTGTCAGAGTTTTTTAAAACATGTAAATATGTTGCTTATAATAAAATATGTAGCTTTACCAACAAAATCTATTGATTGCTAATTGACATTTATTCTTGTAGACGGACGTTAGAATTTGGAGAGCTATACAAGTACGTTCACATCAATAAATAACAATTATTCATTTTATTATAATTGCAATGTTAGCTTTAATTTGAATTAGTATAGTTCTCATTTAAAATTAATCAAGTTAATATAATGTACATTAAGCATGATAAATGCATGCAGCATGAGAATTTAGTTTATCAGCACCAGATAGAACAAATCGAATTTTATATAAATAAAACTAGAATTTTATATATTTTTTAAAACGTAGTTAATTATGCAAGAGAAGATTTTATACGAGTATATTCATTATTACTCATCTGATAGTTGGAATGAATTACAGGAAACATTTTGTAGAATATTATTTGATTTATTAATTTTATATTTGTCATTTTGCTTTTATTGCCAATGTGTTTAGAATGTTTCAAAACGTAAAAAACAAAATACATTTTTAAGAAAATATCCCTGTGTATGTGTGTATATATGTACTGTTCACGGTCTAACTTCCTCATATATTGAGATATCGGAATCAAGCTTTAAATATTAATAGAGTGAATGAAAATGTGGTTGGTATTGAATTGGATGAAAATCGGTGAAAAGACTCAGGTTTTATACACATATATGTATACAGGGTGTTCCCGGATTAAATGGCCAAACTTGAAAGATGTATTTAGGATCTCAAAGCAAGAAAAATTTTCCTCTGGAAATATGCTCGTAAACGTTCCGTTCACGAGATATTGACTTCTGAAGTTATGAACTGTTAGGAATGAATAATTTTGAAATAATTTAGATTTATCCTCTTTATTGCTTTCTAATAATAAAAATTTAATTATTAAATGTTTTGTTCAAAATGATGGCCTCCAGCTTGGAGACATGCATTGCACCTATCGATGACAGAATGAGTGGCTGACTGACATTGTGCGTCTGTAATTTTGTTACACGCCTGCACTATCCTCCGTTTTAATGATTGAAGATCATTAACAGGCACTTCATTCCAGTTTATTCGACGAAAGCATTCAACGAACTAAGTACGATGATACGACGCTTTGTTTACCATGCAAATAAAAGTCTATCAATGACCTTCGATTTCGTAAACAAAGTTCCGTCGTACTGTATGTTTTGCGATTGGTTTTTAAATCAAACAAATTATAATTTCCAATTCTCGCAAAACGTTTTATGGACAGATGAAGCCATATTTACCAGACAAGAAATTCTGAATCAAAGAAATAGTCATATTTCGAAATTATTCATTCCTAAAAGTTCATAACTTCAAACGTCAATATCTCTTGAACGGATACGAGCATATTTCCAGAGGAAAATTTTTCTTACTTTGAGGTCCTAAATACATCTTTCAAGTTTGGCCATTTAACCCGGGAGCACCCTGTATAAAAAAATCACCTTGAAATTATTAATTTTTCATTATACATTCTTGTAGCTTACCTTAAGAACTTTTCAAAACACTATAATAAAGTATATTTATGTTACATACTTGTCGAGTTATGAGACCTTGAGAGTTACAGTACTGCCGGTATTGGCATTATCCAAGGTGTAAAGACCACTACATAGTCCGTTTTACATCTCTGTTTTATCAGTGTGTGTAAAAACACTACAAAGGTGTAAATCTGACTGTGCATTCTCTATATGGTACATCTAGGCATTGCTACGTAATGCGTTATTATGGATATTTTAAAAGTTCTTCGATGTGTTTAGATTAGATTATTTATATTATACGTTGAGTTTATACATATATGTGTGTATATAACTAAACAATAAATATTAATTGTTTGGTTAAGGTAAGAAATAATATAAATAAAAATATAATAGAAATAAACAGAAAGGTGCGAATTTGAAATATGCACATTGCTTCGTCATTATCTGAGCAAGTTATTTTCAATTTTGGCTTCCTCATAGAGGAAACTTTGTGAGTTGAGATACAAATTGGAAACTGCTTCCTCAGAATTTCAAATTGTACACAAAGCTGCTTATATGAAAAAGCCAAAAACCTGTATGCACATGGCTTCCTCATAGAGGATGCCTTGTGTACAAATTAAAATTCTAAGGAAGCAATTTTCAATTTGTTTTTGTTATTTTCAAATTTATTACATTACGATATCTATCAACTTTGGCACGTTATTATATCTATTTCAATATAAATTTGTAAATTAATTTTAGAGCATTATTACAAAATAATTATTTTACTATAATCTAGTATGTGTCAAATAAAGTATCTATTTATAAAAATTAAGTTTTGGAAAAAGATTTTTAAGAGCTGCACAGTAATATGATTTGAAATAATGAATATATAATAAAAATTATTTATATTTTTATGTTTGTATTTTATAAAAAACTAATCATTTTATGAAATAATATTATTAAACATATAATAAACACATATATCACACATAAACACATTTAATTTTACACACGAATCACCCTGTGTAATAAGTTATTAATGATAATATCAGTGTTTTTAATTATATTGCCAGGCTAGGTTTTGGGTTCAAGTTATTAGCGAGCTGAGACGAGGAGTAAAATTGAAGAAAGTAGAAGCTAATTTGGGTTCCCGTGAGTCATCACCTGGAGAAAAAAGTCTCCCAGACTATAAGATGACACCATACGAGAGTTTGATGGACGACATTAGAGAAAGACGGTATCGTCTTAGGAAAACGCCGCCTACGCCATTAAGGAAAGACGCGCACGCTATTATTCTTGAATTTATTCGGAGTCGACCAGCTCTGAAAAAGGTAAGATTCATGATTGCGTGTACAGGGTATTCCGCGATGATCGAATCCGCCGTAAAATTTAGATAGAGTAAGGCGAACTGAATCGAAAAGTCCCATATTATTTTTCACAATTCACAATAGTTTTTGAATAATAAACAAACACCTCTGGGCGAATGAGCGCATGAGAACTTGTATAAAGTCTGAGTAAAGTAAAAATCTAAAAAAAGGCCTATTTTGCATTCAATGCTAATTACTCTTGTTCAATTAATTACAGTATGTGACTTTTCTCAGTGTTAGATATTTCTACTAAAAACTAATTTTAATCTTAATACAGTACTTATATTTTATTTTATTGAAATTGATTAGTTTTCCTACATTGGTTTTTATGATTTTATTATATATAAAACTCGAAAAAACATCAAGTATCAAAGCATATCCAAATTTTTTATGTATATTTTACATAATACATATCTTTCTCTGAACATTTTGAAACAAGCAACAGCATCTAAATGATAGAACAACTTTGGAATATACATACATACATGTATATGTATATATGTATATATATGTATGTATATTGTCGAGTTTTGATTACATTTTGATTTGTTGTTAACAAAGATATGCATACAAATATTTTTATATATTATATATGTATAAAAGGTCATTATAAACTTGTTAAAAAAGAAGCACTTAATATTTATTCTTTGATGTACAGGCCTCGGAGAGACGGTTACGACCATTACAAAAGGAAAGTACTCTAAGAGAATTACTCATGGAAAGCATAAAAAAGCCTCCAAAGCCTCTGAGGTCTTCAAGACAAAATATTCCTAAGATTGAAGAAACATCAATTTGTAAGTCTATGAATCTTACATATTTGTAAATAATAACATTGTTTCACAAGAGGAAAAATATTTCTACATATTTTATAAAAATCTATGTATATGTTATGTTGGAATTATATAATATTATATAAAAAATTGTATAATATAAAGGTGAATTTAATAGTGAAATTTTTATTTGATAATGATTATATCTATTAATCAAGTATCTCTAATAGTTATTAAAAATTTTTTAATAAAAAAAAATAGAAGAACGGAAATTTCTTTAAATTATTATTAGAGTGCCATAAAAATATTGCCTTAAAATTTAACCGTTATCTTTAAATTATGTCAATAAATTATATCAATAATTGTATTAGAAAATTCTTATTTTATTAATTTTATATAATATGATAAAAATAAAAATATAAACTGTAGTATAATATAAACATACATATAAAATATATATTTTAACATATTTTACCAGGGTTGGGAAGTAACTCGTTACTTGTAACGAAGTTACAGTTACAGTTACTTCTTTTTCGTAACTCTAATTTAACTTTGTTACTTTCTCTACATCTACACGGTGCTCCCGGGTTAAATAGCCAAACTTGAAAGATGTATTTAGGACCTCAAAGTAAGAAAAATTTTCCTCTGGAAATATGCTCGTAAACGTTCCGTTCAAGAGATATTGACGTCTGAAGTTATGAACTTTTAGGAATGAATAATTTCGAAATATGACTATTTCTTTGATTCAGAATTCCTTGTCTGGTAAATATGGCTTCATCTGTCCATAAAATGTTTTGCGAGAATTGTAAATCATAATTTACTTGATTTAAAAACCAATCGCAAAACATACAGTAGGACGGAACTTTGTTTACGAAATCGAAGGTCATTGATAGACTTTCATTTGCATGGTAAACAAAGCGTCGTATCATCGAACTTAGTTCGTTGAATGCTTTCGTCGAATAAACTGGTATGAAGTGCCTGTTAATGATCTTCAATCATTAAAACGGAGGATAGTGCAGGCGTGTAACAAAATTACAGACGCACAATGTCGATCAGCCACTCATTCTGTCATCGATAGGTGCAATGCATGTCTCCAAGCTAGAGGCCATCATTTTGAACAAAATATTTAATAATTAAATTTTTATTATTAGAAAGCAATAAAGAGGATAAATCTAAATTATTTTGAAATTATTCATTCCTAACAGTTCATAACTTCAGAAGTCAATATCTCGTGAACGGAACGTTTACGAGCATATTTCCAGAGGAAAATTTTTCTTGCTTTGAGGTCCTAAATACCACTTTCAAGTTTGGCCATTTAATCCGGGAGCACCCTGTATAATTGTAACTTAACTCAGTTACATTTTTTCGATAACTAGTAAGTAATTTAATAGTTACATTAATAGTTACTTTATATATTTTTAAACCTCCACAGATTGCATTAGGCCTTGCATTTGCGCATAAACACCTTTATCGACGCTTTACAATTGAAATGCAGGTTTGATATTTTTATTTTTATTGCAAGGGAGTAACTGCAAAGTGACGATTCGTTACTTTTCGAGTAACTATAACTGTAACGCGTTACTTTTCAGTATTGGTAACTTGTAACTGTAACTAGTTATATTTTTAGCGAAAAACCTGTAACTGTAACTAGATACTTTATAAAGTAACTTTCCCAACCCTGTATTTGACTTACAATTTAATGTGACTGAATATAAATTTTAATCATTTATGGAGTTCTACAATATTACGGTGAAAATGTATGGTTATCCATACATTTATTGGAAGAAATTTATATTTCTTCGAGTCTCACATGACGGATGAATTTTGTTGTTGATATTAAGATATCAGCCTGTTTTCTTCTTATAAATGTAATTTGTATAAGACATTTTGAAAGAAATTAAATTCATTATCTAATTAAAAGAGAAAATGGAAAGAAGGAGAGAAAAATAGACGCAATGTATCTGTTTATCAAGATCTAATTAGAGGCTTTAAATAGTTTAAATCAAATCATTACACCAAGATATTTCATTAATTTCATACTTTTTAAATTAAATATCAGCTGTGCTTTGATATGAGATTGTTTTTTTTAATGATCTTATCAGATCTCTATTAGAATTTTTCTGAAAATAATTGTATTGATTGATGTTATACATATACCGTCTTGGAAGTTGTGAAATAATTGAAAATTTTTCAAGTAGACAGATTAAGAATTACAATTTTCTCAACTGATCAGTATTTGTAAGCTGGTCATTTTGCAATATATTTTTATTTTTTATCTACCGAAATTTTTATATTTGTTTTTTGCACAGGTTTCTTCTCACTTCTTCGATTAATGTAACGGATATTGCGCACAAAAGCATTTACTCTTTAACATATTTCTATTTTATTTATTTATTTACAATTATACAATCACATCTGAACGTTAGATTCCCACAGGTATTTAAAAATTTCCTTATCTATTGACGCAACATACATGACTTCGACATTTATGTATTAATTAATCTAAGCACTTTGTATAGCTTTTTCTCGCTTGAAAAGGACCAAAACCATGGTCGAAACGTAGCGAGTTTGAAACATTAAAACAGCCAGTCAAAAAAAACTTGAAGTTGTTAATTATTGCTGGCAACCCTGAAGATTATCTTGTTAGTTTATTTATTATTTTATAAATTTTACCGTATCTTTCATGAAATTTTATTTGATTTATTGCAAGAATTGTATTTTATTTTACATATATTCCGTGTCATACGCATGCGCGGATGTACGCATGTACGAAATACGTGTTAATCAAGACATATTTTGGGAGCTTCCCAATTTTTTGAACATTTCAATCTTTAACACACTTGTGAATCTGAATTGTATTGGGAGTCAGAAAAATTCGATACAATGTTAAATCAAACTTAATGGCATGGTAGGATGAATCACGATTCGCAGTGCTACAGATGCAGGGCATGGAACATAGAGGGGTAGAAAGTGAGAAGAGAGGGATGAATTGGAGGGAGGGAGGGGGGGGGTGGAGGGAAAGAGTGGGAGAGATGTGGAGGAAGGGTAGCTCAACACGATGTAGACGCGATCAATAACTGAAAGCGTGCAAAGGTGAACTGACGTTGCCCGAAACGTCATCGTGGCATGCCAGTCTAGTCGGATGTCAATCGTTGTTCGCAAATTCTAGCCTGGCATTTAATATCGTTAATTCTAGTTTACCGTTCCAGTATCTAAACATTTCTGTGGTAACATTCAATCGATGCCTCCGATGTGTCTTCCCATGTGAATAATCTCGAGAGGAAGCATCAAGTTTAGGAGAATTATTGTGATTTGTGACAGGTGCGAATAGTTTTTTGCTTCATTGCTTAGGAAATATATTATACAGTGCTTATGTAAAACTAAAAGGGGAAAAAGAAATAATACATAGAAGATTGTTACGTGCAACTCGGAGGAAAAGTACAAGTCCTCTTCATGAAAATTTATTAAAATGTTCTACTAATTGCTCTTAGAATATAAAATAATTTAATCTTATAGTCTCTATGAGATTGATGAAAATATAGTGTTTTGGACAGATAACAATTGGGTCAATAATTTTTAACTGCGAAAAAAGGTTTAAAGATACAAGAACGTGCAAAATGGGTCAAACTTTGAGATGTAGATGTGAAAACCTGGAGATTATTAGAGGTCAAAAAATAGAAATAATACAAATTTAAAATAATGCAAGGCTAAGCATAGTTAGAATATTCATATGCATTTTTGCAAAATTACAAAATTAAAAACAAATGGACTCTTATACCGATTATTCAATACCAACCGTAATAACAGTATTGATGTAAAACAATTTAGACTAATACTTCAAACTTGGCAATAGTTAGAACGTTTACTTCCTTTTTTGGCAAAATTAAAAAATTTTAAACAAATAAATCCTTACGACTAACACCAAATTTAATTCAACCCTTAAATGATACTCTGTTTTGGAATATTTTAACATATTGACAAAGAAAACAAAGCTTTCTCTTCATAGAAAACTTTATGAAAGCAAAATCAAATTAAAGATTTATATGGAAGAGTCAAGATTTCGTATAATTTAATGGTTCATGGATCCAAAGTTACAATAAAATTTAAAAACTACAGATTAAAAGAAAATACTTGAAAAATTCAAGAACTTTTGGTTCTTCTTTATGTATATACCTAAATATATAGAGGAAAGTCCCGTATTATGAGACACGTTCCTAATATGAGATAGCGAAGTTTCTTCTAAATTAATAGGCATCATCTATTGGTTCCACCATGAATTTATTGTCCTTGGAGTGAAATCTGTTTAGAGGAAAATTGATTGTTAGATCGTGTGGTTGCCAAAAAAGATTTGTGATCGAATTTGGACATTAAAAACCTACTATTTCGTGTTAGATTTCTATCTCGTAATAGAGGACTTTCCTCTATGCATACAGGGTGTCAGACTCGTTAGTAGCCAAACGGTACATGACTTTTCTGCTCAGTTTAACCCAATCTACCGTAATTTTTAGTTTGGCTACTAACGCGTCTGACACCCTGTATATATACAAAATGTTATCATGAAAAAATTCACAATTTCAGAATTTACAGACACTTGTTTAGACACTTCTATCAATATGCAAATAAAAAACTTGCTTTTGATTTTATGAATCATAAATCTTGAGATTTAAATTTAAGAATTTGAGAGCAAAACTGAAATAAAAAAACATATAGATCTAAAAAACTCTCCACATCTGCGAAAGAAAGTTGTCATAAAAAGATACAACATTTTTTTCCACACAAATGTTTTATCTTTAACGAAGTTTAAATACGTTCTTTAAAACGACAAAAATAATTATGTATACATTTCTGTTTTCTTTATTATATTTTTTTCTGAATCTAAGGTTGCTATTATATCGTGTCTACTTTTTTTAAGATTATTGTATCATGTTCAAATCAACAACAGAACTACTACCTCTATCGTCTGCCATAAGTGATTGTCTTAGAAAAAAATAATAAATAAATTTAAGATAAAATGTAGGGTAACCAATGATTAGATAAATTGATAAATAGTGTAAATTGATCTTTTAATATTTGATTTTTAAAGGAGTATTACTTTTGTTACTAAAACTATTTTGCAACAGCTGTGAAAACAAATTAATTATGCTGAAAAAATTGTTCTTACCGAATAAAATTTGGATAACATATTTTTTAAATGATTTATTAGAATAGAAGTTTTTGTTGATAAACTTTTATAGCGACTAAACATAATATTTTCAATCTTTAAAACTGATTGCTTTTAATTAACTACTGTTATTATGTTCTTTATACATATAAAATTTATTCAAAAATTAGATATTTTATTTATCCAATTGAAAAATGTATCTTTATGTAATTTCTTTTAAAACTTAATTTCTAAGATTTTAAAGTTTGGATAGTTTTTATTTTATCTTTATCTTTAATATAAAATAAAAAATTTATTTAATTAATTCATAAGTTTATTGAATTAAAAAAATTACAATATTATATCTCTGTTATATGTATACAGGGTGGGGCAATCACTATTACCATCTTTAATATCTTAAAGTCTATAAGGTTCAGAGGAATATTTGTATGACCAAAGTTACGTAGTACGAAGTAGGCTATCATATTAAACAAATGAAAAAAATGTTTCAGATAAAAATTGTCCTAATTAATTAATAGAAAAATTATATACTAAAAAGTAAGGCGTTTTATTTAAGAAAAGTGGAGGTGACCTTCATATCTTCAAAGCGCCTCCACATAGACAAAAACTATTACCACCATATAATAGCCCCCACTTTATATTACGTAACTTTAATTATACAAACATTTCTTTGAATCTTATAGATTCAAAGATATTTAAGGTGGTAATAGTTATTGCCCCTCCCTGTATATATGTTTTAGACATAAAAATTGAAGAATAAACTTGAATACTTTTTATAATTATGTTTTCATTCTTTCCTTAGCCAACACAAGCGGTGAATCTTGCATGATAGTCCTTGGAGAGGTACCACCTTCGCAACCGGAGCAAGAGCAAGAGTCTGCACAAGATGTTGCAGCTCAATGGTTGCAGTCGGAAGATCAGAGGACTTTGGCAACTGGTGGCAACATCCTAGCGACAGCTAGCCGTAGGAGACAAGATGTACCGCCGGTGCCGCAGCCACGACAAAGAAATGCCAACATCAGGGTCTTACCTTCCAATAGGAATCGTAAGTCACGTAGAAGACGCATTATGGTCACAGGTAATCATCTCATTCATCTCATTGTCAGTGGGTTTGAATCTTTGTAAAGCGATTGATTTTAAGAGAAATGTTTAATATAGCAGGTATATTTATCTTCAATTTATAACAAAGAAATAATTATATTTTTAAAACATTTAAGCTTTTGGAATAAACCTTGTTTAAATAGATCTAATTGCTCACACATCCTTCATGAAAATATGTATTAACATAAAATTATATACTAGCAGAAGAAAATCTTGTTTAGACATTCCTTTTTAATCGTAAATTCAGATTTACAAGGTTTAAACTTTTAATGTAAAGAAGTAGTATTAATTAATACATTAATATTTAGTAGTTTTCTTTCTTCTTTTATTGCTATATTTCTCGGAAATTGTCCTTTTTAAATCTCTGATTATGAGTAAAATTATAATTTATAAAATTCAATTAACTTACAAATAAATTTAATAAATTTTTAATTTTATATTGAAGATAAGAAATAAAATTAAGACTATCCAAACTTTAAAATTTTAAAACTTTAAAATCTTAGAACCCAAGTTTTTGGAGAAATTACATAAAGATAATTTTTAATCTATTTGACATTATTTAAAAAATGTTTATATCATATATCTATATTTTTTATTGTTAGTAAAGTATTGTTTATGTGTATAATGATAATAGTTTGTAAAAAATATTTTGAATATAATGATTTACATCAAGATTTTTTTAAGCTAAATTATACTGAATTAAAAAAATTTTCTGATCTTATATTTGATCTAATTTCTTTTTTCCATTCATATAATTTTAAACTACAAGTATTTACATAAGCTTTGATACTGACATAGTGATTAATTATATGTTGGATATATTTTTATTATATTATTTCGAGTTTTTATCTATAAGTTTATATCTATCATCAGAAGTAGTAAAATTTTCCAAATATTGAATTAATAAATATCTAATCATTTTATTTATGCATGATTCTTTGTAAACAATAATTTACTTTATTTATAATAATGATGTTTTTTGAAAGTGTTATTTTCTCAATAACATTTAGGAAATATTTGTTATCTACTTTTATTTGTGTGTTGTCATAATTTTTAATATTGTACAATGATGGACAGAATGGTTGCAACACTTTTTTAAATGAGTTAAAGAACACATATTTAGATTCAAATTTACATTCCAAAACATAAAAGAATTTTTACAAAAAGAATTTGTAGGAAAAGTAACGAAAATTCTTTTATTTTTATATGAAGATTTATTAATTTATTAATAAAGTATATCTTATTTACTTCATCATTTTATTTTTTTTCTTCTGAGTCCTTTCATTCCGTAATTTAATCTTTAATGTCGTAAACTGAATGTTGAAAGATTTACCAAGTATTTATTGAATATCTTAAAAAATATTAAGTAAATAAAAAATGCTTCAGATAAAAGTTGCTCAAATTAATTAGTGAGAAAAGATGTTATAATAAAAAGTATAGGTTTCCATTTTTTAAATTCGTTCTCACCTCCACTTGACTTTGGAGACGCCGCCCAAGGTTATACAAATATTACTATGTTATGTTCCCTCTGAAACCCTACAACTTTTGTAGGAAACATTTCTTTCTAAGATGCATTGTTTACGAAATATTCCACCTGTTACGTTTGAAATTTAACATCCTGTATATATATATCAACATAGAAAAAGTTAAGAAAGGATTAAAATACTTTTTTCTAAGCATACGGGCAAATTGATTGTAATAGGACACTCTGTATAAAATTAAAATTAAGGATACATATGGGTCATTCCATATCAGATTTACAATCAAAATTTTGATTCGCCTGAAAATTTTTTTTCTCGTTCTAGAAAGAAAAAAAAATGACACGTATTTTTTCTTTTTAATATAATAT